CAGTTTGTCAAACATGCCCCATATCAGGTAAAGCACCTCGCTTGTATTTCCACGACCGATCAGCGAATACCAAGAAAAGTCTGTCATAAGCTGTTGCCAGGCTTTCCCCCGACCAGTCAACGGAACCCCATCGCCATGAAGGCACAGAGGCACACAGCGATCGGCCAAGTCCTTTCTGGCTTTCATTGCCGGTGTAACGGCCGGGTGGCTTGAAGTGACTGACCAGAACTGCTGTAGATCTCCAGGTGGGCCCAAAATGCATTGTTCCCAGGTGGCACGGTGATGATGATAAATGTCAGAGAACAGCTGGTGGGGTAACAGCATCGCCTGCATTCTGTTGCCGACCGGATGTCTGAAGGGGATAGATACCAACATCGGCGCCGACACATGCAACTCAGAGCTTCTGGTCGCAGCTTTCATCACGTCGCCATAGCACTTGTTTGCATGTTGCCCCCGTGTACCTGCATTGGCCAGCGACTCCAGATTGTTTGGCACTCTTTCGCTTGACAGTGCAGCTTGAACATCACAGTGTGCTAAGTCGGCGATTCGTTGCACTTGTTGGGGCGACATGTAGCCCCATGACATCTGATCAACCAAGTAGTCGGAAAGCTTGCTGTCGGTCTCCTTGGCAACATCCTCAGCTGCAGCTCGAGCTATCCGCTGTTGTTGCCCCCCTCGCTTTCTTTTGACACCACTGCTGGCTGAAGCCTCCATGGTGGAGCGATCGACAGCATGTCGGCTGTAAACATCTCCGCTGGGCGAAAACTACATCTCGCTAATACATAACATAACCCTGAAAACTCAAAGGACCGAAAGCCCGGAGACCAGAAACCCTGAAACTTTTTTACTAATTCGATGGTTCTTCGGCTAACTTTTCGCTTTAACCTCCAAGGTCTGTCTTCTAAGCCCAAACATTAACCTCTCAACTCAGCACCCCACACAAAACAATCATGTCCTAGGAAGCTTTTCTACCTTTTCCCTAAACCCGTTCAAGAGTTTACGACCTTTTGAGAGATACCGTGGAGAGATACCGTGGAGAGCGACACCATGAAGAGAGCTTCATCTACCTTTCGAGAGTCCTCATATACCATGTGTGGAGTGATGACCATAAGTACCTTCTGTGAGAGACTAATATATCACCTTTGGAGAGATAAACCTATATGGAGAGACTACCTTGCGAGTGCCGGCACTGCTTCGATTCTGGGGCGGCACACAGAGCTTCTTCGGCTTTCAGGGGTCAGGGCAATACAGGAATAATCAAGAAACCCAAAGCCCTGCCTATATGTGGCTTATATATATAGGAGCTTTTGGGACTTGGGGCGAAAGGCACAAATGTTTACGGGTATTGTCCAAACCACGGGTATACACTGGCAGGGTGTTGTGTTGCTTGGTTTGGGGTTTGCCGGGGAATCCCAAAAAGTGCTGAGGCCTAATTATATATACCCTTTGGGAATGTGGGGGTTACGACTGTTCAGGGGGTGACAAGTCTAAGCTGGGGGTTCGTGTAGTTGATCCTCCATACCCACATATATATATATATAGAGAGAGAGGGCTTGGTGCTTTTGGGGGTTGAATCTGGGAGCTACGGCTTCTCATGATAGGGTTTTATGGAAGATTGCGGGTTCGGGTATAGTTTATCCATATATAGTATAACAAGTTTATGGATGAGAGTTGAGGTTATTTAATAATGGATTGGTTTGTGGTTGCCGGGTGATTGTGTGCCACAGTGTTTAGACCTATTGTGTATATGTATTGTGGATGACTTGCGGGTATAGGGATGGTCGGTTGTAGGTTCAACACAGGGTTTGTGACGGGATTGCCAAAGACTTGAGGCCTATATATAGGGTCATAAAGACGAGTCACACAACAGGGTTTGATGGGTCTAGGGGTTAAGTTCGGAAGAATTGAAGCTAGAGTGTTTGGGCTGGTTCCGGGCGGTATACACACCTGTTCCTGAATCTGGGAGGCACGACTTGTCAGGAGAGCTAATATAGGTCTAAGATTGTGTGGGTTCGGGTAGTGTATAGGGCTTGGCACTTTTGGGAGTGGAATCTAGGAGCTATTTGACTTCTCAGATAGTTGTGATAGGTCTGGGAATGTGGGTTCGTGATTATTATCCGGATTCTTGGCGCTTTTGTGGGGGTGGTTCGGGACTTTTACCAATATATTATTATCCACATTCATTTAGATGTCTATATGTAGGAAAGAATCCATATATAGGCCTTGTGGCGGCTTTGGGAATGGAATCTATAGGAGCTACCACTTCTCATATATAGTTGTGATAGGTCTGGGAATGTGGCGGCTCTGGGAGTGGAATCTAGGAGCTACGACTTCTCAGATAGTTGTGATAGGTCTGATGGGTTCGGTCCTTATTTTCATCCGCATACATATAGATTTATATAGGAAAGAATCTATATATAAAGGGCTTGGCGGCTTTGGGTGAATCTAGGAGCTACGACTTCTGAGAATGTGTGGGCTCGGGTTGTTTATCCGTATCTAGAACTATATCTAAAGTACAATGTAGGGTTTTTGGCGATTTTGGGATGGGCAGTAAAGGCCTATTGGATTGTGTGGATGCAAGGTTATGGCCGATTGTGATACAAGTTAGCGGGTATGAGTTCACAGCTGTATTTGGGTTTAGGCTTCGACTTCACTTTCAGCTCCGAAAACCCTTGTATAACCCATTCCTCACACAGGCACCCGTGGAAGCCTCGGCACGTGGCCTTGATGATGAACTCTCTCTCTCGGTATAGGAACTCCCTGCCCCTCTCTCAGGTATACTCTCACACAGGTATATGCACACAAGCTCTCTCTCTCTCTCTCTCTCTCTCACAGGTACAAGCTCTCTCTGTCTCTCTCTCTCACAGGTACAAGTTCTCTCTCATAGGTATATATATATATATAGAAGAGTACACACTCACAAGGTAAATACTCTCTCTCTCTCTCTCTCTCTCTCTCTCTCACAGGTACAAATGTTCTCTCACAGGTAGAAGCCTCCACACACTCAAGGTAGATTCGCCACAGGCTGAAGACACACCTGGCACCATGAATGACTTTGGGGTTTGAGGGCTTGGTGCGACAGTGCAGACACAAGCTTCACAGCACATGTGCAGTCGGAAGCTCACATGCACAGTTGAACAAGTTTTGGCATTCGCGAGACGATACACCTTTAGGTCTTGAGAGCACACCCAGACACAGGCACTGCTTCGCTCCATCACACACAATCTCCATCAAAATTCGCATCATGACACATGAGTGTGTGGCATCGGAAAACACGGCTTCAGCCTCAAAATCTTTGATCTAGGCACACACACACAAAGACATGTGCCTGAGCTTCGGCTCAGTTCTTCTGGGCCTTGAGCTTGGCTTTGCCAACCTCCACCTCAGTGTTGAACTTGCTGGTGTGCTCTGCGATCTCCTGGAAGTACTTCTTGATGGATTCCTCGGTCGGGTTCGTGGCATCCGGCATCATGTTCAAATCTTTCAGCTGGTTCAGGTTCGCGACATGGGCTGTGGCTTTCGCATAGAAAATCTTCAGGGTCCTGACGAACTCGCTGTCCAAGCGATCCGGGGTCTTGAGGATCACGTTGGCCTCCTTGCAAAGCTTCTCCTGGCTCTGGATCGCTTGCTTAGCGAGGTTCAAGGACGAAGCCGAGATCTCGCCGTGCTCCTCAATCATGCCCTTCTCGAATTGCTTCGCTGTGAACTTCCAGTTCACAGAACTGAATGCCTCCAAGAGCTCCTCGGCTTCCGTCTTCGACACCTTCTTCTGCTGATTCAGGCTCTGGGTCACACTTTTCCCCTCCTTGCGGCCGATCTCGTAGGTCTTGAAGGACCAGTAGGTCTTGCCATCGGGCCCGGTGGCGGAGACAATGTCTCCCTTCCTCGCTGCTTCCTGGAACAGAGACAGGTTGCCGCCGAAGTGGTTACCGAGCATCACTGTTTCGGGGAAGCTGTGCTCAACGGCCTTGTGGTAGGTCTTGGAAAACAACTCCTGTGCTTCGCTGAAGATCGGATTCTCCAGCGACAGTCGTAGGGAGCCATCGGATCGCCGCTCGTACAAGCGGTTTATGACCGCACTCTTGAATCCACGATTTCCTTTGGATTCTTTTTCTATGAGATGCACCACATGTGCCGGCAAAGACTCTTTGTCTTTGGCAAAGCGGACGCCTTTGCCCTTGTCTCGCTTTTCAGCGGTGGACCCGGCACGAAGTTCATCTATGGTCTGGTTGATAAGCCCAGTTGGTGGTGACTGCGAGGACGAGGCGGCTGCTGCTGGCTTCTTCATTGTCTGCTTCTGCATCGTCGGCAACTTCTTGGCAGCTGCCTTCTTAGCAGCCTGCAACGTCTTTCCCATGTCTCGCACAAGGGCACACAAGGACACAAACACAGAAGCACACGGAATCGCGAGAGCCACAAAAACCTTCGTAGGTGCACTTTGCATCACTACCACGACAACAAGTTTATATCAGCCGGCAGCAAGCAAACACCCGAAAGTACATCATCCTACAGGACCAGCCACTGGAAGTTTAATGGAAGTTTCCTCGAAACTTCCACTCGGCCCCAAAAGGACAGTGGAAGTTTCAACTGAAGCTTAAAGCTGAAAATGCAATACCTCTCGATGGTTTACAGTAACAGGGTGAAACTTCCACAAAACTTCGATTGAAACTTCCACAAAACTTCCAGGAAGTTTCCTAGAAGTTTCCATCAAACTTCGACCACAGCCAATGGAAGTTTCCTCGAAATTTCCTCCAAACTTCAACCGGCAGATGCTGTACCCTGTGCCCAACCATAGATTAGCCCAAGCTGCACTGCAAGCTCCACAGCATCACACTGCAGCTCTCGACAGGTGGGTCTCTCCCGGTCTGTTTCTTCATTCCCCGGGCAAGCTGCTCTCAGGTATGTTCAGGAAAGCAGAACCTGTACAGGCGACTCCTGGTATACACACAAAAATCCAACTGGTAGGCTGGACCCTCAGGGTACATATTGGGATGCGATCATCAACCGGAGCTCTGGTCCGGAGCAAGGAGCCTGGCTTTCTTCTTGGCAGGGGCTGTTGTCTCATCCGTCTGCAACACAGGAGGCAAAGTGCTTTGGGTGCCGGTGCCGTGGATCTCGGGGGCTTGCTTGTCTTGCATTGAGACCATAAGGTTCTTCCAACCAGGACGATACAACACACCTTCCATATCCTGAAGTGTTTCTGGAATCTGGGAGTCCTCGCCTGTATCAGCATCCTCGTCGTAGTGCAACAGCACCTGGGAGTCCATCGGCAGCTCGTTCTGCATCTGTTCAAAGTCCTGGGACTTCTCTTTGATCGGCTGCTCGGCCGTCTGCTTGCTTGCCATGGATGCACAAAAGTTTTGATATGGGTGGGCCGAATCACAAAACCGAACTTCTGAGCAGCTGTGACAGCACATATACATATGCATACATATACAGACAGCACATGTTCAAATTCGCAAACGAAGAACACTGCAGTGCATTCGTGATGTGAAGGAAGCGATGTGGTGTAAGTGATGCAACTCACAGCTCAATGCAACAGCTCTTGCTCTTTATAGAGGCACACCGAAGCACTCCTTGGAAGAGTCTCTCAGCTCGATCGGCGACTACGGCGGCGACTCCTCTTCCTCGAGGGGCTGCCACGGCTGCGACTCCTCTTCTTCGAGGGGCTACGGCTCCTACGGCTCCGACTCCTCTTCTTCGAGGGGCTCTGCTCCTCCTACGGCTCCGACTCCTCTTCTTCGAGGGGCTACTGCTGCTACGTGTGCGACTCCTCTTCTTCGAGGGGCTACTGCTGCTACGGCTGCGACTCCTCCTTTTCGAGGGGCTCCTCCTCTTCGAGCGGCTGCCACCGCTCCTCAAGGAAGCTGAAAAAGGCGACGTCATCGGTTGCTTCCGATCCTCCGGGGATGTTGTGGTAGGCACAAGCACAGAAACTGAAACACGGATCATGCCATGAAAATTCCACTTGGGTTGTGTCACTCCTGTTGGCGAGTCGACGGCCTTGGGCTCTCCGATGGCATCGCCTGTGCCAGGGTTCAGTCTCTAACTATATAATCATTGATTTCTCACAAAAGCTCACACCCCGAACGACACATGTCCCACAGACCTCCTCGTGGTGCTGGTCGTCGCCCGATGCCTGTGTTCACTTAGGGCTTATAGGGTTTAGGGTTTAGGGTTTTTGTAGGGCGAAGCGGACAGCCTGTTGCAAAAAGGTTTTAGTGTATATCTATGCATATATACATATATAGTCTTGTGTGCACAGACAGCCACACACCCAGAAAAGTGCCACGATCCAGGCCTCTGCTTTTTCTGTGATCGTCTCCTGTGCAGCATCGTCCTCGGTTTTCGCCTGCAATTGCACACACACACATGTGGGGACCCTATATATATATAGTCTTGTGAGTAGACAACCACACACCCACAGAAAAGCGCCTGTCCACTCAGCAACTCTGGTCACATCACTGATGCCACGATCCCGGCCTCTTCTTTTTCTGTGGTCGTTTGCTCTGCAGCTTCGCCCTCGCTTTTCACCTGCAATTGCACAGATATGTGGGGGCCCTGTTGTGTGATTGTTGCACGAAAGGCCTCGGGCAAGGGATACATGGCATCGTCAGCCGCCTGCAAGAATAAGCAACATGTGTAGCATTGTAGATACACATGAGCATATATGTGTTTTGCTACACATGGCCTTCTGCATGGTGTTCATTCTCGGGGTCGCCATCTCCACGATCAAAGGCTTGAAAGAGAGGCCCACATCCTTCTGGTTCCACCGCTCTGCCACCAGCTTGGCCTCCTTCGTCGTGTTGAACGTCACGAAAGCATAGCAAGTGGTATGCTTGGTGTAGTTCAGCCCATCACGGTGGATCTTCACGAAGCTGGGCTTGTAGCCACATGTGTCCCACAAGGCCTTTCGAATCTCCTTCTCCGACACTGCAAAGCGAAGGTTCTTCACGATGACACGAGTCACAGGCGAGAGGCTAGCCATGGTCCACCGCACAAACCAAACTTCTTCTAATTATTAGGCTCGGCCCGCCCTATAGAGTAAGCCCGGGTTTGGAGGTATGCATATAGAGGTTTATAGTTTACATTGTTTCAGCAGGCCACCGAAATCGCCTAAGAGCGACAGCTTGTTAACATATGGCACAGGGTCGCAAGCCCTAGCTTTAGAGGTTCTTCAAGGTTTAGGGTTCAAGGTTATGTCAGGGTTTACAAGTATAGATGGTTCAAGGTTTCGGTCTATGACCTATAGAAAAATATGTATATATACAGATAATGCTTTAGGAGAAGTTCAAGCTTCAGGGTTTAAGGCTATGTTATGTATGGTCCAACAGTGTATATATACATATAGAGATTCACAAGATTTAAGATTTAAGTCCTATATATGTGTTGCTTATAATTGTTTAGGATTTAAGTCTTATGTTTTTGTTTTAAGTATTTTGTGGATAGTTCAAACTTTGGGATCTAAAGTTCCAAAGATAAATACATATATATATTTTTTATATTTCTGGGATTGAAGACTCAGGGTCAAAGGCTATGTTGTACAAAGTGTTCGATGTCTGCGACATGGTAAACCCTTGAACACTGCACCTGCAAAAATCAACACAGCATGAGACAGCAGTGCACAACCGAAGTGGACATGTCTGTGCAAGCATGTTGAACTCACAGTGCACTGGCCGATCCCTGCAAAACGTGGCTTCGTGCCTTGCCCAAATTTGTTGATCGTCGAGTCGAGCCCTGCCCCACACTCCTCTCTCCAGGTATGACTCTCCAGGTAAAACTCTCCACAGGTGATCCTCTCCAGGTAGCACACTTCTCTCTCAAAGGTAACTCTCAAAGGTAGAAATGAGCGATCATCATCTCACATCGTCGTCATCGTGGTCGTCATCGTCATCGTGTCACCGGGCATCATCTTAGATCCTCACACCAGCAGGGCCATCACCGATTGTCGTTGCCGTCCTCATGCGATCATCATGAAAACCCCAACACACCAGCACAAAATCAACACCACCATATAACCATCATCACGGCGCTTTTTCCTGCTCATCTATATATATATATATATATATATATATATATATATATAACCACAAGAACCAACATCGCGATAATACCCAACGTCATCATCATCATCATCAACACAGCATCATTGCACCTTCTTCGTTCGCACAACACACAAAACCAACATCGCTCCCCTAAGCATCATCATCACCCTTGTTGACCTCATCTAAACACCAAAGCAACATCACGATGAAAAGCATAATTATCATCATCGTCATCATCGTCATCGTCGCCCTTGTCAGATGCTGACGAAAATCAACATACTCACCAACATCGGCATACACATCATCATCATAATCATCTTCATCTTTATCATCACCCATCTCAACACAAGACCGAACATCATGATCACACACACCATCATCCACAACTCTGCTCTGTGACATGTCTGCTTGCACACACAGAACTCGCAATCCGGACATGAACTGACATGTTGACATGCACTGATGCACACACAGTCTACCCCGCCCCAGCCCGGACACACACTCCAACCCGCCCCACCCCACCCCATCCACAACCCCAGCCCAATCCACGACCCCCCCCCCCCAACCCCACACCCTCCCTCCCCCCACCCGCCACAAACACACACCCCACACCCCCCACACCCCCCTGCCCCAACCACCCTGCCACGATTCCACGATATTTAAAAGCGCCTGTTCATCCAAAACTGTCCTGCGACCTGTGTCTGGGCCTCATGATTCGTGAATCTTCCTGAAATATCTACACACTTCACAAGTGCATGCATGACATGTGACATAGATGCAGAGCAAGACATGTGTGCATGCAGAAGACTTGAAAACATCTGTTTCTTCTCTCTCTCTCGCCGCACACCAGTCATCGCTTCTGGGGGCAGGTGCCCTTTCGGAACACACACACACTCACAAAAACTCCGCCACAAGGCACTATAGAACGAGATATGCTCGGAAAGCATACAGGAGATAGACATAGAGACACACAGTCTGATGACAGACGACTGTGACTACTCCCAGGGCCTTCGCACACATCTAGCATGTTCAGCACACCAGACGTGTGGACCCTTCCCCGCACCAAAACCACCCACACAGCTGTACACAGCCCACGGGTGAGACAAAACTCTCAGGCATCATCCTGCTTTGCTTTCTTGGCCTGGGGGCCCTCAGTCTTCGGAAACTTCTGCCTGAACTCTGCCCTTGCTTTGATAGATGCCTTGGAGCCCTCCTCTTTGCACTTTGCCAAGTCCAAGCCTCTGGCAGCTGCTTGATCTCGAGCCTGATGATATGCACGACTGGCGAAACGATTCAATCTTTCCGACCAGGTGAGCTCACTTTCCGGTCGGCCCATCCGCCCGTTCTTCTTCCTCACCGGCAGCTCCTTGCCCTCAGCCGCCTCGGCTGCTGGGGCTTCTGAAACCCCATCCTCAGGAGCTCCCTCCCGTTCGTCGTCCTCTTCCTCCTTCTTGTCCTTCTCCTCGCTCTTTGGCAAGTTCACAGCCGGCTTTGCAAGTTTGGTCTTCGGCTTCGGCTTTGCAGCTGCTGCTTTCTTGGGGGCCGCTTTGGATTGTGCTTTAGCATTGGGCTGCTTCTTGTTCTTGCTTTTCGGCTTCGGAGGCGGCTTCTCCAAGTTGACTTTGTGATCCTTGAGGCCATTCACCACTTCCATGTCTTCGGGGCCAATGTTCTTGATTGACAAGAGGCCCTTCAAGAAGAGCTTGGGCGACCCGTCGGCGAGCTTCGCAGTCTGAGGCTTCTGCTGCTTCTGTGGAGTCTTCACCTCTTCCACCCCACAGCAGGCACCCTGCGACCCGTCCCAATCCTCCTTCCCAAGCACACTCTGGAACACAGCTGCAGGATCCACCTGCTGAAACTGCTGGAGCTCGGAACAAAGACCCTGCGACTCTGCCAGCTTCTTCGCACCCGGAGTGATCACCTCTTCCACTTCCAAAGAGCTGGTGCTCACACCCTGTGGCACCAGAGCCAAGGACTGGGAGCCTGAGCCTCGTTCAACGGCCTCCTCTGCAACTGCCTCTGCCGACACACCCGTCAACAAAGACAGCACATCCTCGATGGCTCGCTGCTGGCTCGAGTCGGCCTTCCTGAAGAGCCTGGCCTTCGCCAGATCATTCTTCAAAGAACGACAGTGACTGAGAGCCATCCGAATCGTATCGTCGCAAAAGTCCAGAAAGTCCGGGAGGCTTCGCTTCTCCGACTTCTGCAAGCCGATGGAGTTGTGGACTGACTCGAGTGCCATCTTATGCTTCTTTGCAGGCAAAACTCCGTTCGGAGCGATTGCGGCATATTTGCAAAGC